AATCATCAAAATCATGGCCCTTGCACTTCCTCAACATAGATTTAAATCTCTACCAAGCTTCATTGAGAGATTTGCTTCCTCCTTGCGCAAACACTAGAATTAAGGTCTTGACCTCTATAAATCTTGATTGAAGGAATAATCTTTCAAGAAACCTCTCCTCCAAAACATTCCAATCTGTCATCACCAGAGTAGATTGGTCAAGATACAATTCCTTCACCTTCCCAATTAAGGAATGCATGAATATTCTCTTATACAAGGAATCCTCTTTGACTTCCGGCGCTCTAGTTGCACCTGCCATCTCATAGAAATTCTTGAGATGAGTAAATGGATCCTCATGGTCCATCCATGCAAATGGATTTTCATATAAAAGAGCAAGGATTCTCATTTTCATCTCAGAATGCGTCTCGTTGTTGCATACAATCTGAGTGTTGTTTCTTAGACTATTAACACATGGGGTTGAAGCAGGAGGTGGTGGTGGTGCATCTTCCATGTTTGGTGTTACAATGGGTGTAGATAAAGAAGTTTCTCTATGCTCTCATCTTTATTTGGCAAGTTGCTTCCTCCGCCTATTTCTTCTATTGAGCATACGGGCAATTCTTTCAATATCAAGATCGAATAGAAGTTGGTCTACAGGTACACTCCCTCACATAAACAGAATCTTCACACTTAACTAAACAAATTAAACAGCACAAGAAAAATTAACAGAGGTAAGAATAACAATACAAAGATCTTAAAATCAGTAAACTATTGCAATGCTTGCAGTATCAAACAATCCCCGGCAACATCGCCATTTTTTCCGAATCCTAATTAAAGGGGGGGGGGGGGGGGTTGTTATCGTCTCCACAGAGATTGTAGATATTTTGATGTTTTCCTTTCAACAGTTTATTGTTTCAAGAAAAAGTGTTTTTAAATTTTTGTTCATAAATTTGTCATGTTTTTAGTAGCAAAACTTATAAATTCTAAAGAGTTAAATTTGTCATGTTTTTAGTAGCAAACCTTATAAATTCTAAAGAGTTTGATTAACAAAGTATATCAAAAGTAGTTTTCATTTACCCTTATTTATACATATTCTTTTAATGTTGCATGTGAAGTCAGATCCAATTAATATCATCTATCTCTAGAGCGGCATCGTGAGAAATATTGTATTCATCGCTACACGATTTCTCCATATAACAACCAATATAGTATGCTTTAAGTTCAATACAAAGCAACTATCAACCATAGACCGATTTCCCCAATCTATAAATCAATAGATGAATATTTTAGGTCAAGTTTCACAAAATCTATGTCTAGAGTTTTACAAAACAAGAATGGATCATTAAGAAAAAAAATATTCATCAAGTATTAATCATCACTTGTTCACATACAAGGCCAATCAAAATAAATACATAAAAGCCAATGGTAGATTACCTCTACCTTTGATACAAGAGAAATTAGCTACCCATAACCATGGTAGCTTAATTTACAAGTAATGGAAGAAGATGAATAACATCCACGTTGAAGAATCGAACTCGGATGCGAATCTAGCTTCTATTTGCAAAATATTACCTTTTGGTGAAGAAGTGCTGAGAAGCGAAGTTTTGGGGTGAAAAGTGGATTATGATCCCCAAAAAATGTGAAAAATACTTATATAATACTTTTGGAATCTGTCAAGTTCTCCCAACAAACTCCTTTCTTCGCCCAGCAAACTCCAATTTAGGCACCTGAAGTGCCTCTAAACAGTTAAACCGCCCCTGAGAAATATTTGAAGTTCGATGTGCAAGCAATTCTTCGCCCTGCAAACTACATCGCTACAAGTTCAATCAACAAACTTATGGTCCTTTAGGTACTACCTCAAATATGGGATGGTTCGCTGAGACCTCACCACAATAAACATTCACTACCAGTTCGCCCAGCGAACTTAATGCCCTTTTCTTACTGCCTCTAAATTGAGAGGGTTCGCTCGGGCTTTGCCATGAGTTTTCCCAACGAATATTCGCTGCTACTCCTCGTTGGCTGTTCGTCAAGCGAACATGCTGAATCTCTTCTTTTCATTTGGCTTCCTTGTCCAATTACTTGTGTCTTACTCTTTGATGTTTTTATGCCTAATTTCTGCACAATAACACACAAATCAAAGCAACCAAATGTATTTTCAACAATATTGAAAAATAACATGATATCATGGAGTAAATCCAACAAAACATAAGAAAAGAGTTGAAAATGCCAATAAATATGGATCAATTTAAAGCAAGTTTGACATTCAACAAGCACGCTAAGTCAAAATATTCGAACCGTAGATTAAGAAATCTGACGTCTGCAAGCTCGATTTTGAAATTTTTTGTCTGCTAATTCTACGTACATTTGAAAATTGATTCAACCGGTCTGTCTGTAGATTCTAAAATTTATTCTAGTTGACATTTTAGACATTATGCGAAACGAAATGCATGCTGTGATGAGTAGATGATGCAGATGTCTGGTGAGTGTATCGATCTACTGATTGAAAATTTGTGAATAGATAATGAGACGTAAAGTAACCAACTCTAAGACTATTTGCTTCTAATTATCAATAACAATCAAAACCTTACAAAGATTCATATGACAACAAGACTCTTGACTGTCACCCTCTGAACCTCTAGAACTTGATGCAATTGAATGGATGATGCAATAATATTGAGAAGACAAGCATTTTGACTTCTTAATTAACAGATGACTAAATGAATATCATCAAGACCAAATAAAACGCCAGAACCCTTGACCTTTCAGCTAAACCCTAATGAATGCTTTTGACTCATGCATGATCAAAATGATATGATTAGCTATGCTGATGCGGGTGAAAAAAACTCAGTGTAAAATTTAGGGTATGATACCAACCTTCATAATGTCCATATCTTCATCAAACCTATTTGAGAAACCTTAAATTATTGATTCAACATACTTTTGCTAACCTTCATATATCTAACATTTTTCATTGTTCACACGCCATCATTGCCCATGACATTTTTAATTTGTACCATTCTAGTGATAGTGCATTATTTATCATAACCGATATAAACAACTCTGAAACTATATGACCTAAATGTAGTGAACTATTTCCAGTATGACGTCATGTGGTAAGAACAACCACAATCAAGAATCCACACATCTGTACACTTTCTAGATGAAATACACATTATATATGCTTCATTGCTAGAGTCATCTGTTTGAACCACATTAGCAGAGCTGGATGAGCCTTGCTTTCTGTTTGGATAGTCCATCTTTTAATGCCCAATCTGTTTGCAACTGTAACACTCAGTTGTTTTTCGGTTCTTAGATTTAGACTTGTTCTTTCCATAACCTCCATTACCCTTGTTCCACCCATGATCTTGGGCCTCTTTCAAAAACAGACTATCCTCTTGAGTTCCTTCCTCTACACTTTGTCTCTAGAGTGAGACAAAAGTGTTGCAATAATCACATTAAGATTGCTATTGTCTTTTCTGCAGGTAAGAGTGGTCATTAAATAGTCACAATAACCTGGTAACAAAGACAACAAGATAATTATCTTATCTTCGTCATCAGTATTCACCTCAAGGCTCACTAGACCGGTGATTATGTTATTGAGAACATTGACATGTTGTTGTAAGTTGGATCTTTCCTGCATCTTCAGACTATATAGTCACTGCTTCATGGACAATTTGTTCATCAATGTTTGTCATATACTGACTCTCCAATTTGTCATAAACCTTCTTCGATGCCATTGGGTTTGGGATATGATACATTACCTAGTCTGAAACACATAGGCATTTAAAACATGCATTCTTCTCCTTTATCTTAGCCCAATCAATATCCCTAATGTCATTTGGTTTCTTCTCACACAATATATTTTGCAAACTTTACTGAGCCAATAAATCATTAACCCTCATTTGCCATGATCCAAAAATTACATGTACAATTGAACCTTGTTACTTCAAATTTTGCACTAGGGTTCATCGCCATATGTTACCAATTGTTAGACTAGCAACCAATTTAAAAGAATAAAGAGAAACAAAAGTAAATAATAATGAAAATAGTGGATCTTAGTTAACACATTTCGATCAATTGTGCTTACCTTTACAACTATAGAACAATTGTATTTTATATTATTTCGGCCAACGGTGCCTATATCCCCCGTGTTACCGGCCAATAATAACCTCCATATTACTCGATACTTCTATAAACACCTAGAAAGTAAATTAACTTTTTAACTACTTAATACAAAAGAAAAAGTGTAAACCTAAAATATTAAAAGTTTAAAGATAACTTATTGTCGATATAAAAAAGTATCACACAGACATTCAATCAAAATATTTTACACGGCCACAAAATCAACAATATTTTAAAAATAAAAACATGATAAGGTTGAATATGTTGGGGTATGAGGAGAATCATTAATATTGAGTTAAGAGCAACACACAAGTGAGAGAAATATCATATATATATATATATATATATATATATATATATATATATATATATATATATATATATATATATATATATATATATATATATATATATATATATATATATATATATATATATATATATATATATATATATATATATATATATATATATATATATATATATATTCAAGGCTCCACATTTATAATGACTTCAACTTGTATTTGACTTATTATTCTCGAACATAATACACACGTCTCTCATTGATGGTGTAAACATATTTTAGACTATTAATTTATGTTCCTTTTTCCTTAAATATTAAATGGAGGCAATCTAATAAATAAACACGTAACAATAATAAATAGATTATATAAATTAAGTACAATGGTTGTGCATATACGGAAAGAGAAAGCATGAGTATGTGTTGTGTATCTACGTACTCACGCAAAAGCTAACAAAAATCTCATTCTTCTTCTTCGATCTATCAAAAACATTCACGTTCACCACTCAAATCTCAATCTCAATCCTTGATATTTGAGTTCTCTCTCTCATTCTTCATCTTCATTTTCATTTTCTCGTCAAAATCTCACTCTCTCGCAACCATGATTACTGCAAGCAAAATCAAATCCGTCGATTTTTACAGGTCACAATCAAATCTCATTCTCTTCACCATCACCATTATTATTATTTTCCCCTTTTTTCTTTCGCATCTCTGCATTTCGCGTTCTTTTGGATCATTTTGTGTTCGCATGCAAATCTTCCGTTACAATGCCGTTATTTCCGTTATTTTGATCAGAAACACGATGTTTCCAATTGCATTACGTTGATTTGGATCATTCTTTGCCTTACGGGTTTTAAATAATGATTAAATGTAGAACCAAAGTTTTAAATAATGATCGCAGGTTGGGGAATGATTTTTCCAATTTTGGTAGGTACATGCCTGTAATACTAATTGCAGTTTTCTTATTACGCACCTTCCGATACCGTTTTGTGGCCACATTTTTTGGGGTAACAATACGGTTTTTAAACCTTGTGAAGAACTGCTACGTTATTATTTATTATAAAAAAAAAAATTTTGATTCATTAAATAAGTGATGTATCATGTCATTATTATATATTATTATATATTAGATTTTTTTATTTCTTATAGATGTGTATTTCAACACATTGTATTTATTGGTTAAAATTTATATGGGTCCCACTAAATTTATATAAATTCATATGGAACCTATATGATTTGGCGAGAGGGACCCAATGAATTTTAACAGGCAGCTTAGATTTCAAGGTGAATATCCTGCCATTTGTACTTTTTCCTTATTTTTAAATTCAGCTGGAATCTGGGAAAATATAGATTAAAAGAGAGACGATGTTAGGTCTTAAAAAACGGTCGCCGTCGCGTAAAGGCGTTCATAATTTCGGTTGCTACAAGTGTTGTGACACTAATTGCGGTCATCACGACGTGAATTAACTACAATTTGTTCTTAAACATAAAAACAGTCAGTATCGTATGGATATCGGCATTTTTCAATACCGTTTTGTCGCGGTCGCCGACAGTTTTTAAAAACCTTTGAGACTGAAAAGCCAGATATACTTGGTCATATATTGAATTTGTAAAAGGAAAGGTTGTGAATGCATAGATATAACTTATAATTTGTCTTCTGTCAACAGAAAAATCCCAAGAGATTTAACTGAGGCATCATTATCTGGAGCAGGGTTATCAATAGTAGCAGCTCTCACCATGGTGTTTTTATTTGGAATGGTCAGTAGCTTTTACAACTTCTGTTTTATGCTTGTGACATTTCAACCCTTTAACATGTGCATGCATTTGCCTTGGATTGATGTATAGTCTCAATGCCTGAATATAGTTTTGTTAATGTTTATTGCATAATTAGTTGTCTAGTATCATATTGATATATATCATGCAAACTTGTTGCAGGAACTTAATGAATATTTATCTGTCAGCACCTCTTCATCCGTGATTATTGACAAGAGTTCTGATGGGGACTTTTTACGTATTGATTTCAATTTCAGGTAGAAGATTTTGATCTTTATTTGAATATGATTTTTCTCTAAGGGTATGTTTGGGAGAGAGGGATTATAAGAAAATGAAAGGATGGATAACATGCTAAGTATTTAATTTCAAGTAACTACCGGATTATATAAAATTTGAATTTTTTAGAGTGAAACCTAATGTCTTAAGTCCTTATTCATTTTTATAAATACTTTGCAAACCTCTTAATTCAAAAAGTAAAATCTAACCTTCCATTCTTTTCCCCTCTAAGGCCTCTGCATTTGATTGTATATATACAAATTATTCTTCATGTTTTCTTAAAATGAGCTTGGCAGAATGCAAAACTCTATTAGAGAATTTATAATGGGCACCTGCTTAGGTGTTTGGCAAGTTGTTCACCAAAATCTTGGTTAATATGTTGAAGAAAATGGTTGTAAGACTTCTTTTTTGACAGAAATGATTATCATCAAGGAAGTGGTTAAAAGTTAACTGTTCAGTCTTAATGATGTTAATAATCTTATTTCTTCCTTTCAAGGTTATTTTAACTCAGTGGATGGGATGTTAAAACACTAAAACCCTGATTTATGTTTTCTGTATTGTGACGATTCCTTAAATTTTGGCATGAAATCCAGGTTTGACAAAGCGACAACGTTGTTTTTCATATTTCAATATTTCATGATTATTTTCTAAGAGTTTCAATTCCTTGATCAATTCATCTAGCTAGTGTATGAAGCTGTAGTATCTCTTTGAGTATGTGCAATCAATTTTGGCTATATGTAAGCTCTCATTTTCTCTGTCAGTTGTTTCTTGCTGATGGCTTCTTTTTATTTTATTTTATTTTTTGTAGTTTTCCTGCACTTTCATGTGAGTTTGCATCGGTCGATGTGAGTGATGTGCTGGGAACAGTAAGTTTCTATTATTCCATTTGTTCTATATGACCATCTCTAGCAAAAAAATATTTGTGACTTCTGATTTAAGAAATTTTGGTCACTTAGGATTTTTAACTTCTAGCCTTTGTAAAAATTATTCATTAATGGACTTTAAAAGTTCTATATGTACATTCTTGATTCTTGCAACAATTTTCCTGTTAAGCGTGAGGCCATGGCATAGAATTATTCGAAGTACTTGATATGGATTCCGTGCTTCATTCATGTCTTTATATTAAAAAATGACAAAATCTTCCCCGTCTCACGCATTTTATGATTTCCTAACCGATGATTACCTATGCTATAATTCAATCGTATCTTTGATTCTTTGATATTCTTTTTTTTGCCACTTGTCCCTTAATTTGTCTCTTCTGGATTTCAGAGCAGGCTGAATCTAACAAAAACAGTTCGCAAGTTTTCTATTGATTCAAATTTAAAACCCACTGGGTTTGAATTTCATTCCAGCCCGGCTACTAATGTCGTTAAGCATGATGATAAAGTGGATGAAGAATCTCCTGAAGGTGCTTTTGTATTCACGACAGACAATTTTGATAAATATGCTCATCAGTAAGTGGGTCAATTATGTTGTTCATTTCATTCATTTAAATTTTAGAGTTTCAGTTATATGAGTGTTGAAGAGTTCTTTTCCTCTCGACTCTCAAATTGTATAATAGTTGCACATTGTTTACACTTTTTTTTTTGCACTGGCAGATTTCCAATTACAGCTGTAAATTTTTATGCTCCTTGGTGTTACTGGAGTCAACGCCTGGTAAATATTTCATCTCCATTTCTCTCTTCGTCCTCAGTTTAACAAATAAGATGGTTCCTAGTATATCTTTATTGTTGTCTAATTACGTATACTTCTATTTTTCTACAATCAACATTTTCTTATTCCTTTTGTGAATTTGATGAGATAAAAGAAACAAAGTATACAATGAACTATTAGATCATATGAACCAAAGTTGATACAAATGTAGCTTGTATGAGGACCCCAGAATGACTTAGTGAAAACTTTTGCAAATTTATGATTTGGACTAACAAAGCTTGTGCTAGTATCTCCAAATCTGATGTTTTCTCTTATAAAATGATATTTCCCTCGATGCTTAGTCCTCCCTTAAACTAACTATTTGAGCCAAATGAGCTTACAAGTAGCCGATGTCATGGTCATGACATTTAACTTCATAGTTTGCTTTTGAACTTGACCTTGCAACATTACTGTTCTCTCTTTTTATGGCAATAAGGTTTCTTCCAATGAATATACAATGCTCGAAAGTGGATTTCGTATGTAATGGTTTTAAGTGTTTTTGCATATATTCCTCTTTTATTTGTTTCCTTTCACTCTCTTCTGCATAATGGTTGAAGGTGGTTGTTTACATATCATTCTTTTATCTCCTTCCTTTCAGAAACCTTCATGGGAGAAGGCAGCTAAAATATTAAGAGAGAGGTAATCTACATTTTTCATGTTTTTCTTATTTCCTAGAAACTGAGTTTGGAAATTCTATTTTTTTTATCTCTTTCATAAACTTAGTAACTAACTTGGCATCACTTTACTAACTCAGTGTCTTGTTTGTACAATTGCATTTTTATTTAGATATGATCCGGAAGTGGATGGTCGAATACTTTTAGGGAAGGTGGATTGCACTCAAGATGCAGGCTTGTGCCGCAGGTGCCTTTTTCTTATGTTTTTCGAACAATTCCGTTTCTTGCTTGCAAAATTTGCAACAATAGCCAAAAATTTATGATCATTCTTCATTGCAACACTTGCAAAATTTGTAATTCTAGTATATGCCAAATTCTCAGTTGTTAAATCTTTCTCCATTAGCTTCTTAATCTACTTGCAGAGAGATTGATTTTGCTGAAATTTAGTTTATTTTAATTACTCATATATTTCTTTTTTTCATTTTTTTTTTCAAACAAGGTAATGTAATTTTAATCTCGACTCTTATCATTCTTCTGAAACCACTCCCTCCTCCTTCACCTATTACAAACAAAGTATTGGTCTTCGTAATTTTTCTTTCATACACCAAATATTTCATAAGAAAGACATTAGTTGAAACAGCTGAAACTACTTACTTGAATTTACCAGAAATTTGATATACTAGAAATGCATGTTGTTTTCTCCTTTGGCTTTGGGAGATACTCATTCTTTTGACCATACTATGCAATGTATTATTTCATTGCATATAGGAGTTACTTCCAGGAAGTTTCAACCATTTCTAAATTATATGTTGTTTCAAATAGATGTCATGATTTGATATATGCTTAGCTTAATGTGAAGATGGAGATTAGCTTTAACAGTTAGTTGAGCATTATTGGAAGTTCATCTTCATTGTAATTTGGTATTTTCTGTTGTCACTTCCTAACTTTGTTATTTTTCTCTTATTACCATCTGATATCCAGGCATCACATACAAGGGTATCCATCCATTCGTATCTTTCGTAAAGGAAGTGATGTCAGGTAACAATGTAAAATCTTTTATATATAGGAAAGAATCACTACCTACTCATCTGCATATCCTTTTTGGATACTTTGTGCTTTTTTATTTTCTTAAACATACTACATTTTCCCACGATAATGATATAAGTTCCTTTTTCTTTTCAAAAAATTATAGTAATGATCAATTTTCAAAACCGTGTCTAGAATGGGAGTGATGATCAAAGACCAATAGTAAGGACAGAGACAGTTAGAGGATGTCAGGATGCAAGTACTATAGGTAGATCAGAGCTTAATATTGTACGAAAGACGTGGGATGTAAACTACTATAACCTATGTAATGTAATAGTAATGAAAGGTTACTTTGGGTTGTTTTGTTAGGATTCCTCCACGAACTTGTCAACGAATCAATTTGATAGGCAATGACATTTCTATTTCAGTATGTAGTTCACCTTTGTATTTATTTGTATAAATTCTATATGATTAATATCATTAGAGTTTTCGTATATGTGCATCCTGAATATTTTACCACTTCGGTCTTTGATTGGGTTTCTAAAGTTCTGGATCTTTGAACGCATCTAGTTTTTATTTTTCAGAAGTGACCATGGACATCATGAACATGAGTCATATTATGGAGATCGTGATACAGATACCCTTGTTAAGGTACAAGTTATATTTAATTTACATTAGCCTGATATGAATCAACATTGCTTTGAAGTGTGTATACTTTGTCTAATTGAACATCACTGTGTATCATTAGAGTGCAATATTCCTTATATGAAGTGTCTCTACTGCAGACAATGGAGAATGTAGTGGCGTCTCTCCCTTCTCAGAAGCTAGCTTTGGGGGATAAATTAAATCTTATAGAGAATGCAAAAAGACCAGCACCACCATCTGGGGGATGTAGAATTGAAGGATATGTACGTGTCAAGAAGGTAAACTCCCCTAAGGATACAATTAATCTTATAGTGTAGTGTGGAAAACTCCTTTGTGCTTCTTAGTTTTTGAATGTGAGTATGAACCAAGATTCTTTACATTGCTCTTGTTTTGAATTTTTATTTTTCCTTTTAAAGGAGGCTTTAGTTGTCAATAATATAACAGTTGAAGTAAATGATATAAGGCATATGGCATCCTATTCTTGTTCTCTGTATTTTGATTATTATGCTGAATAGTAAGCTGTTTTACACTCTGCAGGTTCCAGGAAACTTGTTTGTCTCAGCAAGATCTGAGAGCCATTCCTTTGATGCTTCTCAAATGAACATGTCGCATGTCATACACCATTTATCTTTTGGAAGGAAACTGTCACTTAGGGTTATGAATGATGTCAAGCGCTTGATACCTTATGTTGGTAACAGCCATGACAGACTGAATGGTCTGTCATTCATCAATACAAATGATTTAGGAGCAAATGTCACTGTAAGTTGATATTTTACATAAAAGTCTCCTAATTTAGTAACTTTATTTGATTGAGCATGTGACTTTTTATGGTTGGCGTCAGGAATATTGATCGTTGATGGTAGGTTTTATGCATCTGCAAGAGCGAGGTGTAATATATAGCATCGATATACAGGGCCAGATTATGCTTTATTTATTTTTGGAGAATATAATAGACCTCTAAATCCTTCTTCGAAATGGATACCACATGCCATTCCAGCACCTTTTTAGGACAAGATCGGGCCTTCCCACTTATCCTCCAGTGTTAATTCATTTGGAAAATAATTTTGATACATCAGAGTCCCTTCTACAGTAACCAGAGCTTAGAAATCAAAATCTTTGCTCCTTATGCTTGTGGAAGTTACATCACTAAAATACCTCCCTTAATCTTCAGACTTCAATCTTGAAACTTTTCAACTTATAGTTGCACTATTTAAAATAAGCAAGCTTTTTGGACCTGAAAATGTTTGGGTTGGCATAATTTAGGTGTTAGTTTCCTCTGAGATAACTTAACTTATGACTTCTATGAATTTGGATTAGGCCTAACTAAACCTTCTATAAATTTGGATTAGGCCTAACTAAACCTTACAAAAGCGGTTTATAAGGTGAGAGTTGCCAAAACTTTATAAACACTACAGAGGCCATATCTGTAGGCAATGTTGGAATAAATCCACCCTTTCACACCCAACACAATGAAGGTGTTGGAACTTGCAATGAATACAACCCAAATGCCACAGTTAGGCTACCCAATTGCCCCAATTAGGCAGCTAGGGGCGGACTGTAAAGTACACAGAATTTCCAACATCAGAAATACAATCTCTGTTATCATTTGATGGCTTTGACCATAGTTATTCGATTATGTATCGATGATGATAACTAGAGAAAGATGAACATCTCCAGTGCTTGGAGTTTTATTCTGTCAAAGTACTGCACATTAATTTGACTTCTATGTGTGCAGGTGGAGCATTTCCTTCAGATAGTTAAAACAGAGGTTATTACTAAAAAAGACTATCAATTAGTTGAGGAGTACGAGTACACAGCGCACAGCAGTGTGGCACACAGTCTACACATTCCTGTTGCGAGGTTCCATCTTGAACTTTCCCCCATGCAGGTCTGCGTATGGATATTATCGATTTCAATGACTTTCTGCTTTCTTGTAAATTTCTTGTTAATTTACTGTGTTTTTTTTGGGAGCAGGTCTTGGTAACTGAACATCAAAAGTCTTTTTCACATTTTATTACGAATGTCTGTGCTATCATTGGGGGTGTTTTCACGGTTTGTATCTCGGATACTGTGGCTCTATACTTTTATCTTTGACAGAGTTCTGGTCCTATAATTATATTGTTCACTATTTGTTTTGTTAACTAGTCTTCCTTGTGGTTTCAGGTAGCTGGAATTGCGGAATCAATTTTTTACAACACTGTTAGGATGATGAGAAAAATTGAGCTGGGAAAGAATATTTGATAGATAGTTGGAGATTTTATCTATAGGTTAGGGATTTTGATTCACTAAATGCACTTCGATGAGCAAGTCTTTCGGCAGATTGTCATCTATAGACTCACTCTATAAATCATAAAAATGTACCATTTTTCTTTTCATTTGGTAAAATGATCACGCAATGGATTGCGAGCACCCCCGCAATTTTATACTTGGTAGCATTTTGGTAAATAGAATAATTGAGAACTTATTAGTTATATCAGCTTTGGTTGATACCTGATTTGATTATTATTGTTCTATTAGTTATACCAATAATTTTTTCAAAGATAAAGAAGGAAAAGAAACAAATAAAATCCGACATATTCACGGACTCTGACTGCATAAAATGGGTATATTTATTTCAAGTTCAACTTATTGAATATTTTTACAATCCATCAGGTAAGAAGCACACAAAAGGGTACATAACTACTATATATTACCACCTTTTTTCTCACTTCTCCTTCAACAATTATAAGAAGAAAAAATAAATTACAGAAATCATACTCAATAACTCATACTTTTTACTTAGAATAGACGAGAAGTGAAACCATGAGTGCTCCAACAGAACAACCAAAGCTAAGCAAGATTGAAGAAGCATCATTAGGAGGAGGAGGTTCAGAAACAGGAGATGTAGTTGGAGTAGCAGGATTTGTCACATCAGTTCCTAGCGGTGGAGCTGAACCTACTTGCTGAAGAGGTGGTGGAGATGAACCATCTAGCTGAGAAGGCGGTGGAGGAGACGAACCATATAGCTGAGAAGGTGGTAGTGAAGGAGTCAATGCATCTGATGTGTGCGAGGATAAAGGAGAAGGAGAAGGAGAAACAGAAGGAGTTGTTGCTGTTTGATTTGAGTTTCTGTTGGTTCTGTCAGCAAGAACAATCACCAATAGTTTCTCATTCTTGAGACAGTTATCTTTGTTTCCACTAATGAAGTAGTGAGGACCTGATCTGTCGAGTTTGATTACCGTGTGGCCATCAGAAGATTTTCCAGAAGATGATGCATCAGTATTGCAACTCTCATAGTCTTGTTGGCTGTTTACTTCAATTACTGAGTCTTTGCCAGATTGGTAATTGAACACTGCAATTGAAATGGGTGCAAGTTATAAAACATTAGCGCACAATTTCTTTAATAAAAACAAAAATAAGAGAGAACTATTATGAGAACAATGAAATCCAATATAGAAGAATTATTATCTTATAACCAAAGACCGTATTTAAACTATGATAAATATTTTATCAGGTCCTATTTAGTCACAATTTAACTGTGATAAATTTTGGACCATATGCGGCAGTCCGCCTTACACGTCCTCAAAGACGGTCAGTCCTGAGAATAACTCACCTAGGGAGTCTCCTACTTGAAACCTGCTCTTTTCTGCCCACTGATTGAAAGGGTTAGCATTAGGATCACTTGGAACACTCCATCCCTTTTGGCCTCCAACTACAAACTCATAGGCATCACCCTTATGCATAAAAACCAAAAAAAAGAACATAACCAATGCATGAATTAAGGTAGCCATTTGAAATTATAGGATCAATATGAGAAAATGGTTATAGCAACAAAAAATGATGGAAATGTTGAAGCTTGAGTGGTGCAATAAGATGGACCATTATCAGGGGTTTTTGTAGGTATCAGATGCATGAAAAGTTTACAAATTGTGGTAATGAAGCTTTTGAAACTTTTTCTTATTCTCTCATCTCATGTTGGTTTACTTTGATTCTGGTGCAAAGCATAAGTTCTCTTTTATTTGTTAAGAGTTTGAGTCTTTGAGAATTTTTGTGCATGAGTTTATGCTTTTCCTATAGAATACATCTTTTACAAATTATGCTACAAACAAGATGAAATTATAATAAAAATATTATCTTTTTTAATTTTTAATTATCATTTTAAAATTATTTCTACATGCTAAAAATATATATATTTTGCTATTATTAAAAGAAATTATAATATATTTAATTATTTATTACTATCTAATTAAATTCATTTATTTCTCAATAATAAATAATTAAAATTTATTTTGACAAAATATAATTAATATTGTTTTGAGCTTTTACAACAATTTTTTAAGAAAATTACAAAATTTCTAAACATCAGATAAAAAGAAAAAAATAGAATATATTAGCCAACAAAGCTTTTTACAACTTAATGTTGGTAGGAATATAACCTGATGCCTTTCTCATTGCAAGCAATGATGACTCCTGTAATGATGGGACCCCAAATTAATTTTTTGTGTGACAGATCTATATAGGTGGTAGATAAATAATAGAAAAATAAATTATCGTTTAAATTCATTATTTGAATTATAATAAATTTAAAAAATGAATTTTTTTTTTTATATTAAGAATCAAAGATAATATTATACAAACATTTTTTATATTTTATTGTTCGAACTTTCGTAGAGTTTTAATTAACCTTTAGTCCCTTTGCTTTTTGACATCTCTAAGTAATTTTCATTAACTTTTGTCAATGAGTGATTAGTAAAAAATCTCCTCTTTGTGCCAGTTCTGGGATGAAATGAGACTATTTGTACTAAATTTGTAAAAATATTTTTTTTTCTTTCTAAAAGCCAATAGAATATATAACAGAACACAAAGAGTGTTCAAAACAAGCAAGTATCAATACAACTATAGCAAAATCGAAAAATTCTCTACCAACTCTAATTCAATTTTACCCTCATAATGAGTTCATATAAAAGGCTAAAAATCAGAGTTGTGATAGGAAATTTCACCTATCCTAGACTATTTTCAAAAAATAATCTTAATGTTCCAGCATAAGTCATCTAAACTAAAAGCAGTGTTTGCAAAAATGATGTCGTTTCTACACTTCCAAATGTACCACACAATGATTAGCCATATGACCCCAATCTTCAAATTCCCTTCTAATTGGCTTCCCAATCCACACCAGTCAAGAAAGAATTCATCAATGATACCTGCATAAAAACTGGCAATATTACACCAAAACAAGCCACTTTAGGAGGAACCTTTACCTGCAGAAAACTTAACTTTTAGACTCACCAAATCTCTCCACAGTTTTCTCTTGGAACTCAATCCACAACCTGAATAAACATTAATCGCATAATACACATCTTTCTTCCAAATCAATAATCCCAAAGAACCCTTCTCCTCTAAACAAACCCAACACGTTAACAACTTCAGCTTTCCATATCTTAATTAATCCTCCAGATTAACCTTGAGAACCAGAAAAAGACCAACCCACCTCTCCAACACTCCACAAACTTCTGACATACGATTCCTCCACTTTACTAGTTTTTGATTCTTGTATGAAAAAAAATATTTGATTTCCCTTTGGTAATGATTTGATTGACTCTTCTCCTTTTGGATAAAGAATCTCCCCCTCTAATATTCAATGATCCAATAATCATTGAAAATCTTTGTTTAGCTCCTTATGTCCATTGAATCTGCTTATATCCACTGCTTCCAACTCTGCAATCTTCATGTGGTAATCTTTGGATTTGTTGCTCGTCACCACCCCAAGGTTTGACATAGCAAAGGCGGATGGTGGTAGTGCTGTTGTGTTTGGTCTTGTGGGAATAGGGTAGAGGTCGCCAGAACTATTACATCTCATTAAAAGCGTTTCAGTATGAAAATCCTTTATAGAAAAACCAAGATAATCAAATTCAACATAAACATCATTATCGATTGTAATTTTTTTGACAGAAACAAGGTTTTTGATAAGTTTCGGTGCATGCAAAACATTGTTTAAGGTTAGGGAATTAGGTAAAGATGCATGACCACAACCAATTACAGGTATATGATGACCACTGCCAACAGTAATATTATTACTCATATTAAAATAAGATGTGAGATTACCTCCATTGCCCGTCATATGAGAAGTCGCTCCGCTGTCCATATACCATTGATCATCAGGAGGAGAGATGGAGAAAGTATGCATAGCAGCTTGGATGTCTGTCGAAGCATAAGAAGATGAACTTTGCTGACTGTTCATGTGAGGTGGAGCAGTTGCCATGTTAGCTTGCTGAGGTTTAGGACCTAGTATGCCTGATTGTTGATGGGGAGAAACCGTTGTCGGATATGGACATGGTGGAGTGGCCCATGGCTGCCATGGATATGCCCACTGTTGTTGCTGTCTGGGATAAGTGGGAGTGGTCCACTGAGGTTGCTGATAGTGAGACTGACGCCACTGATGTGGCTGTGGCTGGGAACAACCTCCACCACGACCATTGCTTCTGCTCCTGCCACGACCTCCACCGCGGCCATTGCTTCGGCCACCACGACTAGCACCATTGTTGTTGCGATTGTTATGCTGTTGAGATAGAGTGGTTGAGGCCGCGGTATCATCAAGAGATGATACGAAAGCAGAGTTGCTGCTAGAATTTGCTGCTTTCTTTACTTTGGCTGTTTCTTCCAATATTATCATAGAACGAGCTTTGTAAAAAGGTGGAAGAGAGTCTCCATGACGGATTTGTGAACCCACTGTGGCATACGCATCTGTTAGGCCAGAAATGAGTTGAAGAACAAGCCTTTCGTTAGACACGGGAGCACCGACATTAGAGAGTTGATCAGATAGGGATTTGAGATGTTGACAATAGGTGGAGGCATCAGGAAATTGCTCCATATGAACATTAGAAAACTCTTGCTCGAGGTAGAGAGCCCTAGAATTTTTATTGTCATAAAAATAGTTGAATAGCCTGTTCCATGCATTTTCTGCGGTTGAATCGCGCTCAATGATGGTGTGGAGAAGATCATCAGAAATTGTGCCATAAATCCATTGAAGAACAACAACATCAAGACGTGCCCAAAGAGTAGGATCGGTGTCTTTGAGATTAGAAGAGGATGTGGTTTCGGTTGGAATGATATGATCAATGACTTGGTGAACACGAGCATGGATTTTGAAGAGTTCAGACCAGGTGTTATATTGACCTTTTTCAATACTTAGGGTAATTTTGATAAAGTTGGTGATGTTAGAGATGGTGAATGCGGGATGAGTGGGAGGATTGGTATTTTGCGTGGTTTCAGAGTTTTTGGAGGGGGATGATCGGTTGGTGGAAGATGATTGGTCGGTGCTCATGATGAGAGAAGCGTGGGTGAAATGAGAGAAAGAGGAAGGTTGCGCAGCTGGTTATGTGAGAAGAGCGGTGGCGCAAGGATTAGGGTGTAGGATCAGTACCTGATGCTTACTGATACCATATTGGAATGATAGGCCTTGCCTTTCTATTGATTTTGAATGATATATATACAACCAGGACTCTTTAATGATAATAATAACAATGATATCCTAATAATAACAATGATATTCTAATATATCAACAATGATATCCTAATAATAATAATAATGATATTCTAATACTCGTCACCACCCCAAGGTTTGAGATTGCTCCCCATATCTTCTCCCCCACCTTTGATTCAAGATTGTTCCAGAATTTCTTGTTGCAACATCTCATATCAGAATCAGATATTTAATCACAACACAAAATTGCACCTCTAGAGAAATTATTTGATTCCTCTTCCCCATATTTTGTAAAAATATTTATCACCTTCTGTTTAAGCTTAAAGTTTATTTATAAGATTGTAAAAGTTCTAGCAACATTTTGAATCATTTTTATGCACCACAAAGTAAATTAAATGTCATTGGATAGTTATATCTCTGCTTGTAAATAGTACATTTTATGTACCTTCACTAGTATGTAAATGATTTGTCTATCATCCCTTTGTTCTTCCTATACACGTCTATATATAATTTAGGAGAATTTCTTATTGCACTTTAGATAATTCTTATTCACAACGCGAAATTCTTTAAATGTTTTTAGTTTTTGGAGATGTCTTTTCAGACGCACTTATTTCTGAATAAACGTTGAAATATTCTACAGATGCATCTTTGGAACAATTTTAAACATTCAATTCAACCCACTCAAATCCATTTAAATTTGAATATTTTCGGAGATGCATTTTCGTGAATATTTCGGAGATACATCTCTGAAACGTATCATAACATGTATTTTGTGTTATATGTCGTGTATCTGTGTTCAGATGAAGTATAACGCACGATTCAAAATTAAATAATAGACATACAAAATAATAAGAGACTAATATTGTGTGTGTCAAAAATAAAATAAACAATAAATATAGAAAATATCGTACAATCGAGATCCAAAATGTAGTAAGACCCTTAAAATAAAGTAAAGAGTATAGTACTAGAATAAAATAATAAACGACTACTACTGGGTATGTTTAACAACGTCTCCTCTACCTGATCTACCTCCTCAGCCATCAATCACCCTATCCTCCGATGATGTCTCTGGTATAACAATGCCTCATGTGCCTCCTCCATGATGGCATCTAGGACTCGCTTGACATCAGACCCATTAGGGAAGATACCTCTGTCAATGGCTACCCGTGCAATACCCATTATGCGACGACAACTAAGCAAGACATCATTAGTATGATCTAGATAAGCTTGCTCCTCCTTTAGTATCTCCTGATGAGCTGGTCTCAGCGGATCTCCTGGAGCAACATGCACCATGTACGGATGTGACACCCT